CAGCTGCTGCTGCTGCAGCAGTTGTTGCTGCTGCGCGGGGACGGCAGGCCTCTTCGTTTGCATCCCCAGAAAGGCTGCTGTCAGCAGCAGCACCATCTGCTGCTGCTGCTGCTGCGTGCTGCTGCTGCGCTGCGTCGCGCCTCTCCGCCAACTGCTGCTGCTGCCTTGCCGCAGAAGCAGCAGAAGCAGCAGCAGCAGCAGACACATTGCTGCTGTCGCCGCTGCTGCCAAGCATATGCACGGGTCTATCCAGCTTTTGCTGCTGCAGCAGCAGATGCAGGTGCTGCAGCTGCTGCGTGGCATTGATAACAGCAGCAGCCGAGTGAAACTCCTGGGGATGCTTCGGCTGCAGCAGCAAAGGTGCAGCAGCAGCAGCAGCTGCTGCGAAGCAGCTGCCAGTGCTGCTGAAGGATTCCCTCAGCAGCAGCTGCCAGCACCGCCGCAGCAGTTGCTGCTGCGTCGTACGTGCTGCAGCAGCAACAGTGTTCAATGCCTGCTGCTGTTGAGTCGGAGGTTTGGGGTGTAGCATATTCTGCTGCTGCTGCTGCTGCTGCAGCCGCTGCAGCTGCAGCGCTACATTTGGCTGCAGCTGCCGCCACCCACTAGCTGCTGCAGGAGCAGCAGCAGCTGCGCCTTCCCTCGGCTGCATGGAGCGTCGCTTTGCTGCTGCTGCTGCTGCTTCTGCAACCAGCAGCAGCAGCTCAAGCGAAAGAAGCCGGACCTGCTGCTGACAAGTATAGTTCTCCACCTCTACCTGGTGCTGCTGCTGCTGCTGCGCCTGCTGCTGCTGCTGCTGCTGCTGCTGCTGCTGGGGGTTGACGTCGGTGAGTAAGAGGGCACCGAAGAGGCAGAGCGCCGGGCCTGCTGCTCCCTCCAGCGCCCACGAGTGCAGCAGCTGCTGCAGCAGCTGCTGCAGCACAGAACTCAGCAGCGTTCCGTATTGCTCCTGCTGCTGCAGACGTCTATCCTGTTCTGCTTGTCTGTCGTGCTGCTCTTGCTGCTGCTGCTGCTGCTGCTGCTGTTGCTGCTGCTGCTTCCTTTCCTTTGCGAAGATCAACAAGAGCACCTACGAGCAGCAAAATCAGATGCAGCGCATGATGCAGCAGCAGCAGCAGCAGCAGCAGCAGGAAAAGCCACAAAAGCAACTGCAGCAGCAGAAGCGAGAGACGCAGCAGCAGCAGCAGCAGCAGCAGCAACAGCAACAGCAGCATAGGCCAACGATCACCTGCAATAAAGTCCCCACGAATCTGCTGCTTTGAGCTGCAGCAGGAACAGCATCAAGCAGCTGCTGCAGCAGCGACACAATTGCTGCTGGAGCCACCTGGAAGAGCCCGCGTTGCTGGTGCTGCTGCTGCTGCTGTTGCTGCTGCATGCACCCGAAACTCCACCGCTGCTGCTGCGGGGGGCCATGCTTTACAGCAGCAGGCAGCAGCTGCAGCAATGCTGCAGCTCCCTGCAGCAGACAGCAACACAGGCAGCAGAGACAACAGCAAATGCTCCTACAGAAACAGCAGCAGCAACACCAGCAGCAGCAGCAGCAGCAGCAGCAAGTGTTGCAGCAGCAAGATGTTGTTGCCACCCGGTGGCCCAAGGAGTGCAGCAAGCGCTGGCAACGCTGCGTAGACGCGAGCACCATCAGCAGCAGCAGCAGCAGCAGCAGCTGCTGCTGCTGTTGCTGCAGTATACTGTTCCTGGCGCTTACGTCTACAACAGCAGCTGCCTCTGGAGTATAGGCGGAGAACGAGCGGCTGTTGGTGCCGCCGCTGCTGCAGTTGCTGCTGCAGTTGGTGCTGCAGTTGCTGCTGCACCTGCTGCTGCAGAAGGCGCTGAAGCAGCAGGTGCTGCTGCGGCTGGCTGCTGTGCTGCTGCTGCTGCTGCTGCGACGCAAAGAAAATGACTCTGTCCACCTCTCCACAGCGAAGAGTAAAGCTTTCCCTGGAGCCGCAGCACAAGCAGCAGCAGCAGCAGCAGCAGCAGCAGCAGCAGCAGCAAGTGAGAGATGAACAGTGTGGCTGCCCCCTCTGAAGACCCCCTCCCGGCTGTATCTATGCTGCTGCAGCAACTGCTGCAGCTACACTACTGCTGCTGCAGCAGCAACTGGTGCAGCAGCAACTGCTGCAGCAGCAACTGGTGCAGCAGCAACTGGTGCAGCAGCAACTGCTGCAGCAGCAACTGCTGCAGCATCTCCTTGTCCTACATTTCAGAAGTTGCATGGCCTCAGACGGAGTGCTGTTTGCACCGATGCTGCTGCTGCTGCTGTTGCTGTTGCTGCTGATGCTGCTGTTGCTGCGGCTGCTGCTGCTGGTTGCCAGGGTATGAGCACACAGAAGAGCCTCGCATGCGCTGCCGCCGCTCTGCACCGCAGCAGCA